ACCAAAAACACTTCAATGTAAAATCATTTTTCCAGAGCCCGGGGAAGACGGCAGAGGAGTAGGGAACCCTAGTTTCATCTGGTCCCCGGAATTCAGCTAGATAGCTATCAAATCATTCTGAACACCTGTGATCTCAACTGGAGGTCTAAGAATTGCTGCAGTTCTACAAATAGAAAAGCGACCACTTTTTGCAAGGTAGGAAGTGCGGAGAAGTGAATCAGAGGCAATATATCGGAAGATAAACCCCTGGGGGGAAGGAGCCTCCATAAGCCTCTGATACTGGAAAGTGACACAGCAGTGGGGCATAAAATCAGAATTTATAGAAATCTGTTCCCAAGGGGGATGTCCCTGCCTGAAAGGTGCTCAGGTGGCAAAGCAGGCAGAATATAAGGTGGGACAGCATAGTCTCAGGATCCCCAGGGTCACAGAAAGAATGGGGATGCCTGAGTGTGGCAGAGCTCCCAAGCATTGGAGCAGGGAAGCCAGCTGCAATCAGCAAGCCCAGGAGTGGGCTCTCAGCCCTGTGTTGCTATAAACCACAAACCACGGCATGATCGGTGGACTGCTGTCTGAGCAGGGGCCCAGCAAGCGGCAAAACAGTGGCGAGAGTCCTCTCCCTGCCCCAGGAGGAGTGGCGTATGTGTGCACTACAGGAGTCTATGTTATAAAGTTTGGAGACACAACATGGTCGTGTACCTGAGATAAAAATGCTCAGTCACAGGCTGGGTGAACAGAGTGTGGATGGAAACCAGGGAGATAAGAATGACTGACTGCTTTTCTGCGAGGGCTCACTGAAGAATGTGGGGTGCGAATTGTCAGTTCTGGGGCTGGAGACCAGGGCGCAACCATTTTCATCCTCTAAAGCTGAGCAGAAAGCCTTCAGGGAGCAAAAGCCACATAGAGCAACCCCAAGCAGCTTACACTGAGCCCGGCCCCCTAGCAAGGGTCGGTGCAACCCCACCCAGGCGAAGACACCTGAGATCAGTGAAGCAGGCCCCTCCCCCAGAAGACCAGCTGGAACAGCAGGCCAATGCCAAGTTTACAAAGCACACAGAATTGCAAAACTCCAGGGTTAAGGGAAAATGGTATATAGAATTTGAGTTTTTTCTCTCATGATTCATTAGGCTTTCAGTTTAAATTTTTTTTTTCTTTTTTTCCTTTTCAGCTAGTTTCTTATTTTTATCAACACTTTTAAGTCTTTTTTAATTTTCATTTTTACATTTACATATATATATTCTTCATTTTTGGCTTCCTTTCATTGTATTCAATTTTATTTTTCTATATACATAAGTTTTTCTTTCTTTACAATTTTGGGATCTATTTTCTAACAAACAGACCAAAATACACCCAGGACCTAGTGTATTACTCTCTTCAGTCCACCTGTTTGATTATATTCTTTTTCCTTTTTTTTCTTCTTTGGTTTCTGATCACTTCTGATTTGTTTAGTACATATTTTTCAGGGGTCATGGTTGATATTTTTGTATTTTGTTATCCTGTTCATCTATTCTTCTCTGGACAAAATGACAAGACAGAAAAATTCACCCCAGAAAAGAGAAAAAGAGGCAGTACTAACTGCCAGACACTTAATCAGTATGGATATAAGAAAGATATCAGAGCTAGAATTCAGAATAACGATTATAAAGATACATCCATATTGAAAGTGAGGGGGGTGAGAACCATTTATCATGCTAATGGACATAAGAAAGCTGGGGTAGCAATCCTTATATCAGACAAAATAGATTTTAAACCAAAGACTGTAATGAGAGATGAAGAAAGTCACTATATCATAAAGGGTCTATCCAACAAGGATCTAACAATTGTAAATATTTTTGCCCCTAACATGGGAGCAGCCAATTATATAAACCAATTAATAACAAAATTAAAGAAACACTTGATAATACAATAATAGTAAGGGACTTTAACACCCCACTCACAGCAACGGACAGATCATCTATGCAGATCAACAAGGAAACAAGGCACACTGGACCAGATGGACTTCACAGATATATACATAGCATTCCATCCTAAAGCAAAAGAATACACATTCTTCTCAAGTGCATATGGAACGTTCTCCAGAATAGATCACGTACTGAGTCACAAATCAAGTTTCAACCAGTACCAATGATTGGAATTATTCCCTACATATTTTTAGACCACAATGCTTTAAAACTTGAACTCAATCACTGGAGGAAATTTAGAAGGAAAACAAATACATGGAGGTTAAAGAGCATCCTACTAAAGAATGAATGGGTCAACCAGGACATTAAAGAGTTTTAAAAATTCATGGAAACAAATGAAAATGAAAACACAACTGTTAAAAATCTTTGGGATGCAGCAAAGGCAGTCCTAAGAAACAAGAAAAGTTTCAAATACACAACCTAACTTTACACCTAAAGGAGCTGGAGAAAGAAAAGCAAATAAAGCCTAAACCAAGAAGGAGAAGAAAATAAAGATTAGGGCAGAAATCAATGAAATAGAAACCAAAAGAACAGAACAGATCAACAAAACTAGGAGCTGGTTCTTTGACAGAATTAATAAGATTGATAAACCCCTGGCCAGACTTATCAAAAAGAAAAAAGACCCAAAATAAAGAGAGATCATGACCAACACCAAGGAAACACAATCATAAGAACATATCTGAGCAACTTTAAGCCAACAAATTAAGCAATCTGGAAAAAATGGATGCATTCCTAGAGACGTATAAACTACCAAAACTGAACCAGGAAGAAATAGAAAACCTGAACAGACACATAACCAGCAAGGAAATTCAAGCAGTAATCAAAATTCTTCAAACAAACAAGAGTCCAGGGGAATTCTACCAAACATTTAAAGAATTAATAACTATTCTTCGGAAGCTATTTCACAAAAGAGAAATGGAAGGAAAACTTCCAAACTCATTCTATGAGGCCAGCATTACCTTGATCCCAAAACCAGATAAAGACCCCATCAAAAAGAATTATAGACCAATATCCCTGATGAATATGGATGCCAAAATTCTCACCAAGATACTAGCCAATAGAATCCAAAAGTACATTAAAAGGGTTATTCACCATGACCAAGTGGGATTTATTCCTGGGCTGCAAGGTTGGTTCAACATCCACAAATCAATGTGATACACTACATTAATAAAAGAAAGGACAAGAACCATATGATCCTCTCAATAGATGCACAAAAAGCATTTTACAAAGTACAGCATCCTATCTTGATTAAAACTCTCCACAGTGTAGGGATAGAGGAACATACCTCAAAATCATAAAAGCCATCTATGAAAGACCCACAGTGAATATCATCCTCAACAGGGAAAAACTGAGAGCTTTTCCCCTGAAGTCAGTAACACAGCAGGGATGTCCACTATCACCACTGCTATTCAACATAGTACTAGAAGTCCTAGCCTCAGCAATCAGACAACAAAAAGAAATAAAAGGCATCAGAATCAGCAAAGAATAAGTCAAACTCTCACTCTTTGTAGATGATATGACACTTTATGTGGAAAACCCAAAAGACTCCACCCCAAAACTGCTAGAACTCATACAGGAATTCAGCAAAGTGGCAGGATATAAAATCAATGCACAGAAATCGGTTGCATTTCTATACACCAATAATGAGACAGAAGAAAGGGAAATTAAGGAATTGATCCCACTTACAATTGCATCAAGATACCTAGGAATAAATCTAACCAAAGAGGCAAAGAATCTGTACTCTGTAAACTACAGAACACTCATAAAAGAAATTGAGGAGGACACAAAGAAATGGAAAAACTTTCCATGCTCATGGATTGGAAGAACAAATATTGTTAAAATATCTATGCTTCCCAGAGCAATCTATACATTCAATGCAAGCCCTATCAAAATACCATCAATATTTTTCACAGAGCTGAAACAAATAATCCTAAAATTTGTATGGAACCAGAAGAGACCCCAAACCCAAAGGAAAGTTGAAAAAGAAAACTAAAGCCACTGTCATCACAATTCTGGACTTCAAGCTCTATTACGAAGCTGTAATCATCAAGACAGTATGGTACTGGCACAAAAACAGACACAAAGATCAATGGAACAGAATAGAGAACCCAGAAATGGACCCTCACCTCTATGGTCAACTAATCTTCAACAAAGCAGGAAGAATGTCCAATGGAAAAAAGACAGTCTCTTCAACAAATGGTGTTGGGAAAATTGGACAGCCACATGCAAAAGAATGAAACTGGACCATTTCCCTACACCATACACAAAAATAGACTCAAAATGGATGAAAGACCTAAATGTGAGACAGAAATCCATCAAAATCCTAGAAGAGAACACAGGCAACAACCTCTTCGACCTCAGCCACAGCAACTTCTTGCTAGACACATCTCCAAAGGCAAGGGAAACAAAGGCAAAAGGAACTACTGGGACTTCATCAAGATAAAAATTGCATAGTGCAGGAAACAGTTGACAAAACCAAAAGACAGCAAGACAGCTGACAGAATGGGAGAAGATATTTGCAAATGACATATCAGATAAAGCGTTAGAATCCAAGATCTCTAAAGAACTCATCAAACTCAACACCCAGAGAACAAATAACCCAGTCAAGAAGTGAGCAGAAGACATGAACAGACATTTCTGTAAAGAAGACATACAAATGGCCAACAGACACATGAAAAAATGCTCCACATCACTCAGCATCAGGGAAATACAAATCAAAACCACAATGAGATGCCACCTCACGCCAGTCAGAATGGCCACAATGAATTATGAAGGTATAAAAAAATATGTTAAATAATCCTAATTGTCCTATGCTCAGTCAGTCATATCAACATGGCCTAACAACTTACAACCTTTCTTAATACTTATAAAGCAGCTCTTAATCCGAGAGAATGGATCCATATCCAGTGGTAAAGATGTTGGGAGGGGAAGAGGTGAAACTAACATAAGGCATAAATCATAGTATTTATAAGATATTTCATTTTTATCCTAATTTAGGATAATGGACATTCTGAATAAGAGTAGTATGAATTAAGGACTCACCTCTATCTGTATTGGGAATCCCCAGATCTACTGTAGGAATGGAACTTTCTGCGTGATCACTGTAGTATTCAATGACACTTGCCTGGCCCGCCCAGGTCTGCTTTACAACGGGGACTGAAAAAATGAGAGGAGTGACAGTCATTGGCACGGTTCTGCAGGAAAGCTTAGCATCATGAAGGGGAGCATAATCACCTATAAAGGAGGAGAAGCATTATTTGCTCTTCTTCGGATATCCCAACCTGCATGCTTTTCCTACCCTGAGAAATGTCAGGTTGTTGGTCGATGACAACACCTGCGTAGAACCCTCTCCTTGAGACGTTTTCAACGTACGTTAGAGCCCAACCCTTCTCATTCCTGGTGATTCCTCATTCCTCGAGTCCATGTAATGATCCATTTCCTAGTCTGCTTATACTGTAGTGTTTTAATTTTCCTCTTTCCCCCATAGGCTATTTCATTTAAAATTCACAACTAGATTTTTCAAATGCTTCTTAGAGGGGTGAGGAATATAATTACTTCTAAGGGATGGGAATATTCTGTGTTTCTGGATGAGATGCAAATATGTCTCCCTTACAGTGGTGGGGGGGTAGGGGGCTTCTCAAACTATACACGTCCCCACCCAACGATTCCAACAGAACCATGAAATCCAATCCAGGGCACGACCCTACCACTGAGAACCACTGCCTAGGATAGCTGATATTCTTGTGCTATGCTTCTGAAAAATGTGGAAGAAGATTGAGAACCACTGCAGATTTTTTACCACTACCATTAACAGATAAATTGTTTTAAAAAAAGAAATACAAACAACAGAAAACTTTCACAGTTTTCTGTAATTTAAAGCTACTTTTAAGCATCTCCTATCTCCACATTTGACAGAATTCTACCTGATCACTATTTGGTATTAATTCACCTGACCAAATATCTGTGTAATTATTATATATATTTTTTGAGCTACTATCTGTGCATCTCTACATTCTGAGAAGAGGTTTCTGTTGTTTTAATAGGAAAAAAAAAATCATCCTGGGGCGCTTGGGTGGCTCAGTCGTTAAGCGTCTGCCTTCAGCTCAGGTCATGATCCCAGGGTCCTGGGATCAAGCCCTGCATCAGGCTCTCTGCTCGGCAGGAAGCCTGCTTCTCCCTCTCCCACTCTCCCTGCTTATGTTCCCTCTCTCGCTGTGTCTCTGTCAAATAAATAAATAAAATCTTTAAAAAAAAAATTTTAAAAAAATCATCCTATCGAGATTGCAAACCCTGGCAGTTTAAGAACCTCCACTCCAGTGAACTAAATCTTCAGGTCAGTATTTTGAGATTTTTATCAGATCATTTATCTTTTGCCTTTTTCCCAGCCCAAATAAAAATATATGCAAAAACTCCCCATGCAATGCCAACTTTAAATGTTTAGCTACACAAGTCAACAAATTCAGAGTCAAAGTCAGACAGCCTTGTATTTAAAACACAAAAGTGCACCACTTTATCCATTATTAATGAACTTTTCAGAAAGACAGACCTCTGAATTCTGGACATTTGTTATAATCTCTAAGTTACCTATTTTAACACACTGAATAACTTTTAGATCTTATAATTTTTCTGCAATCCTAAAAAGGCAGAGATTTCTTCATGTCAAAATGGACAAAGATGCATAAATAACAGCTAAGGCTGCTGGGGGAGGGGGAGAAAAAAAAGAAAAACAAATCCTCTTCTACTTACAAATCCCAGCACAATGAAAATCTTTACCTTAGCACCTCAGGGGCAGTCTGCCGTGCGTATCACATGCAGGAGGACTGACCCCAGAAAGGGCTCCCGGCAGCTTGCTGCTGCTAATTCACTCTTGGGTAAAATGTCCTCCCCCTTGCATGATGCTGGAAAAAGCTGTGAGGGAAGGTCAAGAATTTTCCTCAGTCCCAGCCCTCTGTCCTGCAAGCTGTGCAAAAGTCGGCTTTCGCTGTCCTCAGCCCTTAGCCTCCAGTTCCCGTTTGCTCTAATGGCTTTATTAATCAGCAGAGATGTTTCCTCTCAGCTGATTTAAAGGACATTAAAATCAAGTGTGAGGGAGTTCTTTGCTGTACCTAACTACTTGCTTTCGGTTTTTGTTTGAAATAGCTGAAACAGAAATTTCACTAAAGGTAAGAATCACTATATGAATCATTCCCCACCCCAGGCACAGTGCCCGGGATGTAGTAGGTGCTCAATAAATAGTTTGAATGAGGACTGAATTTTGTAGAAGTTCCCACAAAAGGCTTAAGGCTATTTTTGGAACTAGTTTAAAGGAAGGTTTTATCCATAAAGGCAATTCATCATTTGGTACAAGGCTGTTGCCACCATTAACAACCATATAAAAATACACCAGCCATTTTAATATAGTAGGGTGCTATGATTCTATAATCCCAGAAGCATTCAACCATTTTTATCATCTATCCCCTAATCACTATAACTCCTGAGGCATTTGCCATATCTGCCAGCTATAAAGAATTTAAAGCTAAGCCTAAGTCTTCTATAACAGCAGGTAAAGCCTATATTTTCAACTAGGGTTGATTCTAAGTTACCTAAAACTTTTAAAATATTGGTCGATTTTATTAGCAATGTTTGAATTCTAAATTGAATTCATTCTATTTATAAAATATTTTATATTGAGGCACTGTGTTCCTAAGTATATTAAACTTTGAGAAAATATTTCAATAGAGTTACATGACCTATTATCTCATTTTCAATACAGAGAGGCATACTTTCTACCCCCTAATAAAACACTAGTGAATGCCTCTTTCAAGAAGGTTTACCACAAGATAACTTATAATTGGAGCAAAGTAAAACTTGTGCTATTAAAGAAAAAACAAACCCCACTGCACAGATGGTATAAATCTTCCACATGGCTTTACAGACTTGAAGCAGGAGGAGATATGTCTTGCTAGGAGGCACAGAACACACATTTTTACCCCTGATGAATTTACTTGCAAAACTGATTACAAATGAAAATGAACTAGACACTTAAACACTGTACAAAAACTACCCCACAGTCAAATATGAATGACTCTCGATGTTAAGTTATCTGCTCTTTTCACTTGACAAATGGACTTCTGGTCTCCGTATGCACGTCAATGACAAAACCCTGGCTGCGCCTCTCTCCTCCGGAGAGGGTTAGAGATACAACCCCGATTTTAAAGATGAGGTGTAAGTAAGACTCAAAGGCATCCCTCGGGGGCTGATCTAAAACAACATTTTCAGGCAATCCTGGAACCTCTTTATCGGTTCAACAGCCAAGGTGAGATCCGAACAGGGCAGCACCTGACTCCCTCCCTCTTTTCAATTAATTAATCTAATCACATCAATTGACCCAGAGTGAAGCCTTCCACCTGGCTGCATTGTAACCCAAGCCTCATGTCTGAAATAAGCAGACAGACCCGTACCTGTAAGCCTCTCTAACCACACACCCCTTTCAATAAATTGGTTCACATTGGCTTCTTCCAGACAAGATGACTGCGGTAAAGATAACAGGGTGTTTTGTTTTTTCAATCTGAAAGGAATAAAGTGTTTGTTTTGAGGTGCTCAGGAAGCTGTGAAAAGGAACGAAAGGCTGAGCAAAGAGCAATTTTACCTCTTTAATCAGAGGGGACTGCAGCAGGAGAGCATCTCACGACCCAGCACTTGATGAACAAAGCGGTGGCTGCCACCAGATACTTAAGACACGCACAGGAACGGTGTGGCAAAATGGTGCAAAAAAAATTCTTAACATTTTCTGACAGCTCACGTCACACAGTGGAAAAACTCATAACCCAAGAGGAAGCGAAGCAGCTGAATATTAAAACTCCAGAGACCTTCTCCTCACTTAAATATAATTTTACATGCTATGCCTAATTTGCTTTATGTAATATGTTTAAAGTTTCTTTAAAACCCTATACTAACTGCTTGCATCTCAAGAGTGTGTTGCTATTTCGATGGTGTCAATATGTATTTCTTTCTTAAGCCAAAAGATAGAATATATTTTTGCTGTGTCCTAAGAATGCTTTATTTCATTTAAATCAGAATCCAGACACAAAGCAGTTACATAAATGTTTGTTTCACCATTAAGCAAAAAAGGTACAAGATGTTAAATACAATTTTTTTAATTTTGGAACTTGCCTCATTATCAATTCTTCATTGAGAATATAAAAAATGAGTTCAACATATATTTTCCCTTGCCTTGACTGGAGCCTTTAACAGAACGTGCCATCCCTCACCCTGGACATGGCTGACATTATAAGGAGTCAGGAATGGGGGGCATCGCGAGGGGTCTTCTGCTGTCCCCAGGGGCAGTGCACCCACAAGTGAGAACCTGCCACCAGATACATCACCAACAGTATAGCCAACTCTCAGTTTTTCAAAGATAAATATACAGTCTTATTTATGGGTTTTTTTCCTTTGTACCACAAAGTGCACGGGGAAAGAAAAAAGAAAAAACCCACTCAAGTCCATGTATTTGGCTTGACTATCACAGTTATATGCTTGGACAGGGGTGGCAGTCTGAATGCCCAGCTTGGTTTATATTTTAGATCCTCTGTGGATTTCAATTTCTGGCCCTCCCCATTGCTACTGAAAACAGAAAGCCTACTTTCTCACCTTCTGGCCAAGTCAAAAGTGACCTTGAGCCTAGCAGAATGTCAACATGAATATCAAACACCATTTATCAAGGCTAAGATTGTAATACACCCAAGGAGATGACAGTACAGCTATGCTGTGGCAGAAAGAATTTGGGATTTGGAGCCAGAAAACCTGAATCCCAGCTCTCCTTCTCAACAGTCTACAAGAATGGGCCAGCTATGTCTTGTCCCGCACTCCGCTTTCTCTACATGATCAAGGGAATCACGTTAATTATCACATCATAAGGAATTGTCACCATGAAGCAGATGATACAATGTATGTAAAAAACACACCAGAAAATGTAAAAAAGATGAGCAGATGCAGTTAACATGGTGTTGTCAATGTAATGAATATGATTACTAGATAATTCTCCAGGCCAACCGGTGGTTAGACTAGCCTTCCAAAAGAAGAGGAGGAGCCCAGTGGCCTGGCAGGCTCACTTCCATCCAGCAATATGGATATCAAAGTCCCTAAAATCCTGCTGCCTCAGACTATCTTTTCAAACAAACATCCAAGTTTAAAGATGGCTTGCCACAGAAACCCAACCGTGACAACCTCATAACACCTTTTAATTAAGTCTCAGGCTTCAATGACCCCAGATTCAAATTCATAGCAGTGAATCAATGCATCCAGCTTTGGGAGGTTTGGTTTTAATGCTCCTAACAGGCTTTTAAGATTTGTAATTTTTAAAGAACTTTGACTTGAAATTCAAATGTAAAAGCATTTGATGGATATCTGAAAAGATTATCTCAACCTGATGCAAATAAGAAAGCAATAAACTAGATCATTCAAAATTACTAAATTAAAATTAGCAAATTTCTTTTTCATTTCTGTAGAATTTGAAAAATACAACAGGGATGATCCCTAATTTTACTGCTTTACTGTCACTTGAAAAATGTTCCAAAAGAGAAAATACCACCACCACCGCCATTCTTAACATCAATATTATGAAAACAGTCACTACTCCCAAGTGCAGCTTCAAGATCAAATAAATCAATTTGAACACTTCTATGGGCTGTTTAAAAAAAAAAAAAAGGCAGTCCCTTCATTTTCTTTGATACAAGATATGTCAAAACTTGTTCCCAAACGCCCTCCCAGATTTTAAAAAAAAGCAAAAGGATATTAAAGCTAGGTTAATTTTTGTGAATGATGAAAATTTTAACTGCTATATTCATTTTTAATAATCTTTAGGACTCCTTGTATGAGTGCATATATTAGGCTGATTTAATAGGACTTGGCACTTTATATGACTATTTTAGGTAAATATGAAGGCTTATAGTCACATACTTGTATGATACTGTACACATCATAACCAGATTTTAATTGATGTTAATATCTTAATACTTCAATCCCAAATTATTTATTTGTAAAATGTTCCCCTTTAAAGTATAATTTATAAGTATATTATCAAATAAATAGTATAAATGAACTTCCCCCATAGCTCCAATCCCATGAAAACGACAGCTGGTTTAGAAATCTCTTCTACACAAATATCACACTCTTGATGAAATCGACAGTCTTTTCATGGAAAAAAATTAAAATAAATGCTAAAATTAGAAAATGCAAAAGACGGTCTAATTTTCAATTTCAGAAAAGTGCAGCTTGAAATAAGGCGAAAAAAGAAAGAAATTATGTCTACTTATATTTAGGATGGGCTTTTTCTTTTCATTATCAACATAACTTAGAATTCTGTAATGACACCAAAAACTTGAATAAAAACAACATTCATCTGCATGCCAAGATTTTAAGAAAATGTGTATAAGCCACCTCTTGCCTTTTCTGCAATATAATCCACTCATGAGTGAATATGTATCTTTAAAAGTTCCAAAGTGTGCATCCACCATAATGTAAAAAGAAGGATTAGTCTTTGAGAAAACATCCTTTTTTTGGCATTCTCTCACCTTGAAATCCCCTCTAACGTTGTTCATACAGTTCAGAGCCGGTGCATGGACATAATAGGACATTATTCTGCAAAACGGATTGTTATTCACACATTGTGTCCAAGATTGCCACAGCTGTGCTTTCCCATTTCCAATTTAAAACACTGCTCTGAACAGTATTCAGAAGGGCTAGGGCCACTCATGTTTCGACACAAAACAGTCCCTTCTAATTGATCTTGGTGATTGAAGTGGTATGATGAGGAATACTAACTAAATAACTGCTTTCACTTCAACAGTATATGTGTCATTATCTCCTTCTTGAGTTTCTATCTGGTTTGTAGTTGTTTTTTTTTTTTTTTTAAGGCAGTTGGGATTTTAAAAGTTCAACAAAAATGAATAACACAAAACCTACTTCTATCACCATGAAATTTCTTGCATGTTTTTACTGCAAAAAATATATCCTCTTTCTTCACTGGATTTCCCTAGAAAACAAGAAAACATATATGTATATATGAGTCCGTGTCATATTAACACCCACATTCACACCCCTGTTAGATCTCGCATGCCATAGAGGTGACCTTCACCAACATCAAGGACATCAAACCTGTTTCTGGGATTAAGTTTTAGGGGAAAACAGGAACTGTAATTCAGCTGACAAGTCCTCTGAAGTCAGCCAGACCTGGGCCCGGATCCCAGCCCTGCCCTGTGCACATGGTGTCATCCAGACAACGTTCTTCAGCTCTCGACTTCAGTCTGCTCGTTTCAAAGATGGTCAGAATAGCCACCAGCGAAGCCGCTGTCATTGCTACATTTATTCAGCACATAACTGCCCAATAAATGCTAGACACCTTCCCTTTCCTTTTCCCAGCTGGTGAAGATTTTGACAAAGGGAGAGAACCAGTGGTCTGTGTTTGTGTACAATAGGAGCTGACTCTTTTGTGGGGCTGGTCTCACTTTAATGTTCAAAGTATTTTTATGGCCCCTTTATTGTCTACCCAAGTCTAGGCTACAGCAACATTGTCTTCCGCCAAAGGGAGCATTACTTCAAACACTTGGGCACCGGGAAGGAGGAGCAATTATGGAGCCCTGAGCTGGCCCAGCCCCAGCTGACCGCTCAGATGAAAGGGGCACACAGGTTGATTGTGGACAGCCTACACTCAAGGCCACGGACTGCTTCGTGGGGTGTTCTGACCCCTTTATCAAATGTCTTAGGCCTTTAATAATATTCAGTCATGACTCAAACATCATCTGGGGCCAGTTTATAATGACATTTAACCACAGCTTTGTCATATTACTCAAGACACTTAGGAGGTTGAGCCCACCAGACTGCCCAAAAGAGTATTAAAGAACAAGCAAGCATCATGTCTAGAAAGACAGGAGACAGGTTTTCCCCCTCAGGAACTAAGCAAATATTACAGATTCTCTCCCATTACTGCAATGTGTGTATGTATACATATATTCATCTTTGAATATGCAACACACAGACTTCTGTGTGACCGCCTTGAGAAGAACAGACAACATTTGAGGGTGAGGAATATATTTTCCCTTCTGAGAAAGAACTGTTAACAACCTAGTGAGTTTCAGGGGTCTTCAGGCTCATCCTGAGGACTGGACCAAGGGAATGCTGTAACAAGTAAGTTCATTCTGAAAGCTCTGCTGGACAGTGGCAGGTGAGACCAAATCAAGGTCTTCAGGCGAGAGGAGATGGGCTTGAGGAGAAGGCTTAGGTATAGCAGGAAATGTGTGAAATCACTCTTCTAGGAAACGGAACAGAAATTCCAGTAGACACATGCTGAATCATCAACAAGAGAAATGACTCCAGGCATACTGACTCGGAAGAGCTGTGGCAGGCAGTTCCGCACGGAGGCTCCAGGGTGAGTCTGTGCCCTCACAGTCCTCCCTGCCCCTCCCTCAGATTCACGGTGTGACCTTGAACAGATACTTCTCAGTGCCTGTCTCTTCTCTTGTGTCAACTAGGAGAACAGTGCTCACCTGATAGGGCTGTTATTAGTAGAAACACGATCTCTACTTCTTACCTGGCATGTAACAAATGTTGGGTTTTTTTCAGTAGATACTTAAAGTGCTAGGACAACGTTATGCACAGCATATAGATTTTCCTTAGATATGTGAGGAAGTTTTTCTTCTATTACTTACACAGAGTGGTAGAAAAGAATGGAATGTGGTGGCACAGTAGGAGTCCACAGCATCTGTACACAACTCAGGCACTGGAGTGAGGGGAGGCCCATCGCCTTTGTCCCAGATGTAGAGGGCAATCTGTCAGGATAGGAGCCGGCAACAAATGAAAGAACCTGGCCAACACCACAAGTGTAAGAAGGTACAAAATATCTCAAGGAAAAGCAGACCACGTCTTCTATAGAGCACTTAGACGGAACCATATCAATTTGACAATATTCAACAGATTTTTTTTAGAAATAAAAATAGCAATTTCTTGTGGATCAATCTAATCTTTTATTAACAAGAATCCATATTCTGCTTGCCAAACAATTCCGAGGTTGTCATAAGCAATTTCAGGGAAGCTATTTTAGGGTTTCTAAAACATCGCAGTGGAAGATGAAAGAAAATATTCCCATGAGACTGGTTTTCTGCAGTATGGTAATTACATACCTTGACTAACTGCCTTGCGGAAAACATCTAAAACTGTTGGATAAAATATCTTTAAAATAATTTTAAATGGATTGCTAAATTGCCACAAAAGTATGGAACTTGTGAGGACAAAAATGCAAAAGGAAGAGCCTGGGAAAAGGGCATCATGGGTAGTTTCCCTCAGTAGGTGGATGGTAACTCTGGTATGCTGAGTTTCTGATGAGAGTTAAGAAAATAAAGCCCATGACTCACCCAAGGTGGGGAATGTTTAAGAGCAAACCCCACATAAAGCTGGGACTTTGGATGGAGCTAGATGGAGGGGAAAAATCATCTCCAAATCTCCTCTGAGATTTTGTAGTTAAAAACCAGGCCTCCCTAATTTGTGCCACCAGTGTGGTCTAAAACACTTCAAACAGTAATTTAAAATGGTCCCAAGTCAGTAGAACCCTGTAGCAGTACGAAAGCAAATGCAAATCCTTCCTGAGGAACCCATACCTTAACGTAGGACTCAGAGGATTGCCACAGATACAGTTCCAAGCAAGACTACTCAGAGAAAAATCACAGAAAGCATGGGGACGTGAACTGATGATCAAGAGCCAGCAGACAAAACATAATCGGACCCAAAAGACTGCAGGTCTTGGAATTATCAAACACAGATTATAAAATTACTATATTTAATACATTTTCATAAAGAGAAAATTTTCAAACTTTAGCAAAAAAGTTTTTCAAAGATTATATAAAATAAGCAAATTTGAAAAGAAAGAACTAAACTTCTAAAAATAAAAAACAATAAATGAAAAATGTAATGGTTAGGATAAGCAGCGTATTAGACCCCGGTGAATAAAAAATTAGGGAACTAAAAGATGAAGGCCCCCAAACTATCTGAAATGGAGCACAGCAGAAACAGAGGTGGGAAATGTAAGAGAAAAATTCAGAGTGCTTAGCACACATCTAAAGATCCAGGAGGCGATAACAGAGAGAACTGGGGTGAGAACATGCTTGAAAAGACAATGGCTGAGAATTTCCAAAAATTACACAACAATCCTATTTTGGAAAGGGTCAATGAATCCCATGCAGGATGTAAAAAAAAAAAAAAAAAAGTCAGCACCTACACATCTCATAGTGAAACTGCAGAACACCAAAGACAATCTTAAAAGCAGGCAGAGAGAATGAGATTACCTACAAAGAAGCCACGTGAGACCAACGTTGATTTCCCAACACCACAGCAATAACAGAAGCCAGAACACAGTGTAGTAAGGCCACCGTGATGACAGAAAATAATGGACAACCCAGAATTGTATACACAAGATAACTATGTTTCAAGAACAAAGTGGACATAAATGTTTTTAAAGGGGAAAAAAAATGAGAATGTACCGCCTCACTGAAGGAAACTCTAAAGGATGTGCCTCAGAAGAATAAAAATGATCCCACCTGGGTACAGCTACTCTGGAAAACAGTACAGAGGTTCCTCAAAAAGTTGAAAATAGAGCTACCCTATGACCCAGAATTGCACTACTGGGTATTTACCCAAAGGATACAAACATAATGATCCAAAGGGGCACCTGCACCACAAATGTTTATAGCAGCAATGTCCACAATAGCCAAACTATGGAAAGAGCCTAGATGTCCATCGACAGATGAATGGATAAAGAAGATGTGGTACACACACACACACACACACACACTGGAATATTATGCAGCCACCAAAAAAATGAAATCTTACCATTTGCAATGACGTGGATGGAACTAGAGGGTATTAATGCTAAGCAGAAATAGGTCAATCAGAGAAAGACAATTATCATATGATTTCACTCATATGTGGAATTTAAGAAACAAAACAGATGAAGGAAAAATAAAATATGACTAAATCAGAGAGGGAGAAAAAACCATAAGAGACTCTTTAACTCTAGGAAACAAACTGAGGGTTGCTGGAGGGGAGGGGGGTGGGGGATGGGGTAACTGGGTGATGGGTATTAAGGAAGGCACTTGATGGAATGAGCACTGGGTGTTATATGCAACTGATGAATAACTCAACTCTACCTCTGAAACTAATAATGCACTATATGTTAATTTATTGAATTTAAATTTTAAAAATGTCCAAAAACATTTTGGACATATGGAACTTATGATCCCACCTGGCAGGTCTTAGAAGTAAGATGGGATACCAAGCAAAGACAGTGGCAAATACATGGTTAAGCTAATACTGATGTAAATTGCATAAAATAAAGATAATATTTAAGTTGAGGGGTTAAAAAAAAAAACAAAAATACTAATTAATAAAGAGCATATAAATTGGGAAGGGGACGGGCTCCCGGGTGGCGTCTGCCTTCAGCTCAGGTCATGATCCCAGAGTCCCAGGATGGAGTCCCAGGATCAAGTCCTGCATCAGGATCCCCACTCAGTGGGGAGTCTGCTTCTCCCTCTGACCTTCCCACCTCTCGTGCTTTCTCTCTCTCTCAAATAAATAAATAAATAAAATCTTCTAAAAAAAACTGTGAAGGGGATAATTAGAGTCCAATGATTCTAAGTCCCTTGAATTTAGGACATCAATTACTTAGCCTTTGTTAGGTTAAGAATGCATGTTAAAATATTTAAAATAACAGTAAGGTACAGACAGAATTTCCAAAATAGCAGAGGAGGAAAAAAATGGAAAAAGAACAAAAAATAATCCTATATAGAAAGTAAGGAAGTTTTTAAAAGAGCCAGAGAGAAAATGGGGGGGGGAGTAAATGAAGTGATAGAAATCAATTCAAATATAATGGTAATCATGTTCAACGTAAGTGTAAATCTGCTACCTGGTTTAAAGACAAAGACTGGCAAACTTGGAGGAAGAAAAGATATGTCCTCTTTAAGAGAAACGCATCTAAAAGAGGACACGAAGGGGCTGTAAGAAAAAGATGAGCGATAATTAAAAAGCAAACCCAAAAAGAAAGCTGGTATAGAAACAGTCACAGCAACAAAATACATGTTAGGGCAAAGAGCATGACAAGAAATAAAGATGAATTCATAAGAAGATGTAAAGATTCTAAACTTGCATGCAATTAATTAACATAGTCTCAGAGTAAAAAAGCAAGAGTTGGAAGTTTACAAGAGGAGACATTGTGAAATACACCATTATTATGGAAGATCTTCCCATTCCTCCCTTAATAAATGATACCTCAAGCACACAAAAGTAGAAGGAAGGGAGGAAGGAAGATTAATTTGAGATTAAATCTATTTCTTCCTTAATCTAGTAAAGAGACTATTATACTCCCCAAATTTTAGCATATACATCTTCTCCTCCATTCATGAAAAGCAAACATGAACCAGGCCACAAAATAAGCCTAAGAATATTTCTAGCTACTGTTATATAGGCCACAATAATGCTAAGCTAGAAATCAATAACACAACACAGTAACAACACACACAAATATACTGGGTCACAACGAAAAATGTATTTTTTAAAATGGGTCACGGTCAAAAAAAAAAAAAAGTTTAAAAGCCTCTGCCCTAGGGAAACTCCTGCCAATGATGGTCCTGACACACCTCCAAAGAAAACCCTAGAAGTAATGACTGTAATAGCAAAAAACACAGAGCAGTGCAGAAGCCCACCACCAGGAGAACGGGTAAGTGGACTGCTCTAGTCACAGGAGAGACTCCTGCAGGAAGAGGAAATAAGTTCATTAGAGCCATTGCACATACCAACGTGGATGAATTTCAAGTTAGAACAATACTCATGTTACACTTTTGTTCATCTGAAGTCCAAAAGGATGCAAAACTGCATAATGTCTTATTCAGAGGTACAGTCATATGCTATAAAAGATGAAGCAAAGGAAGAGAGAATTCCAGAAAGTGTTTACTAGTAAGAATGGAGGGGACGCAGGAACGTCACATTCAGGTAGTTTCAAAGTGACTGGTGATGTTCTAGCTCTTAAGCCAGGTGGTGATTACATAGATATTTTGACTGATCCTCATACCTTTCACATACGTTAGAAATATTCTTTGTAGGTATTTAGTGTTTAATAGATTCCCGAACCTGGGTAGCTATACCAAAGTTCACTCTTCGTTAAAAATATCTAGGCAGACCTGCGCTTTCAATTAGTCATCCTTTCCTTTCTATGGGAAGGAAGAAAGGTTTTTTACATGTATATTTCTCCCCCAATAAGCTCTTTCATCACATGCAAACAGCCAGGAAGGTAAAGCCTTGTGAGTGCCCTTTCGTTCCTGGCATGCTGCCAGCACTCCGGGCCTGAGTGACATGTCAAGCCTGACCCTACCGTCCTAAGATATAGGTTCCTGCAGAGTGAAAGGTGGGGCTGTTCTAGGCAGTCAGATGTGCATGTGCCTGTGAATGAAACCCATGAAGAAACCTTAACAATGATCCTGGAATGATTAATGATGGGACACCTGCCTCCAGGATGATTGGTCACAGGTGTCCACCAAATGCCAGGGATGCTGGGGTCCCAACTGGCACGGCTGCCTGCTTGGGACCCACTGGCTCAATTCTGCTCCAGAGAGCCAAGGACAAAGACATGACCAAGGCATTGTACAGCCAAAGTACCAAATAAGAGCAAAGGTGCTCTGATGGCAGTTTTGCTTGTTTTTAGAAATCCACCTTTGCACCCATCCATCTAGCTTAAAAAAAAAAAAATCAAGATTCACAGATGCAATCTTTTTCACTGCTCCTCCTCCACCTACATGATTAAAATGAGCTTACAGAGAAAGACCTAATTTTCTGGAGAAGAATTATCTTGGTGGGGAGAAGATGCATAGGTGCATTGGGGGGGAGGGGTGTGCTGTCAGGGAATAAAAATACACCTTTTATATCAAAACACATGAATTCTTGATTAGTAAGACTTTTGACAAATAAACCATGACGTACCTCATGTTTTAAATCTATCGTAAAGTCGGATTTCAGGGATTCACTCTTTAACCTCTTGGTAAGCCTAGAAAATAGATACAATTTGAGTTGTTTTTTTTTTTTAAATCAGAAGAAGCATCAAACAAGAATAACGCATTGAGACTTTCTAATGTTTGAAAACAGATTAAAAGCACACATTTTAAGATAAAATTAAGAGTTTTACATTTCCTTGAGGCAAAGCACTGTGAAAATGGAATTATTTGTTGAGTAGGAAATGAATGCAAGCCGTTTTTTTGCAAATGTAGCATTGTTTCAACATCTGGCAAATACTATAAAATACAATACAATAAATTAAATGCCTTATGTAAAACAAAGCCACAAAGTTTATTGACTCCTAACTCCTGACAGAGAAAGAAGACAGAAAAGTAAAAAAAAAAAAAAAAAAAGCTTGCATGATCTATCTAGCAGCCTGTGCAGTCAACCATAACCTTAAGTGACGGTTACCTCAGCCTCACGAAGGTCACGATGAGTCAGCCTCACTAACACCCAGAGCCTAAGTCAGTCACCTTGCAAATGTGTTTTTCGTTCTAAAAGTGTGCAGGGCGTTCACCTAATTTAAAAGGCAAGTCCTAAAAGTGGGAACTAGGTTTCACTTTTCTATACAACAAGACAGCACAGGCGTTTTCCAAATGCTAATTGCAGTAACCAACAATGCCAAAACACACACACACACACACACACACACACACACACACAGTTAAGGTCAGAAATTCCAATTACTTAGATAAAATATTTCCTCATTAAATATTCAGTTCCTGGCAAATACGACGTTTGATATTCAGCTTTCCTATTTTTAGAAAGCTAAGTCATGCCCCAATAACACAGCTCTAAAGACACAACCAGCAAGACTGGAAACTTGCAACAGACAGGGGGCCCCTTCAACTCCATATTACAAGTTCCTAGCTGACTTTTATAGTCCCATTTGTGAGCTAGTCAAAGGAGCAAAATACTGAAAATAATCTAGGTAAGTTTTACTGGTGGAAAAACAACAGAAAAAAACCAGTAACATCAACCTATTTGAAAAGATCATCTTATTGGAAATTTCTCCAAAAATGCAAGTATATTCTTTTATTGACACTATTGTTAGAAGATCACATAGATGGATCACTGGGAAATGTTAGGCAATGTTAAATCAAAACTAACTAATGTAGGATTGCTAGGGCAAATAATGTTTTTGGTGGGAAATAGTCTAAAAAAGTGTGTGTCGTGAAATGTTTTTAAGTAACCAGTTTTTCTGATGACGTGAGCAGGAGAAATACTTAAGTAACTATAAACAGTTGCCCTACCTACCGAGTGGGCCATAAAATCAAGGAAAGGAGGCAAAGGGAATCCCCACTCCTGTAGTTTGTGCTGTAGACTGCCTACACAATACAGAGTTTCCCTTTCCTTCTTCCTAAGAGACTTTTAATTACTGAGCCCAATAACTGGGCTCCAGGGTCAGAATCAGTTTGATCCCAACCAAAGCACTGAAATTCCCAACAACTGTTAATGGTCCAGGAGCTGGTACATGCCTGAAGTTGACCCAACCAACTTCAATCAGACAAGATCCAACTAGAGACTGAAGATAAGCACTTACATTTCAGTGGTTAGAGAGGTTCTCCACTGCTGAACATAAACAAACAGAAACATGTAGCCCTTTTTGCCTTGAATCACAAGAAGAACCCAGATTTAGGATGAACTGCTGCTGTATGTGGTCTCAGGAGGCTGTGCACTAAGCATGAGAGAGAGAGAGAACCAGCATCCTCAATAACAGTAGGATGCATCAACCAACACAGACCTCACCTTCCAATTACAGTAATAATACTTCCTTAATCCAGCATGCTAACTAATATAGTCTCTAATAACAGGAAGAAATAGCACATTAGCTTTGGAACTGGGAAAAACCAACTGGGAAGATCCAATTTTGCAGCCAATGGGACTAATTGATACTTTATGCCTCCTTTAGTTCTAAGTATAATACCAGTTTCTTGAAGAATGTATAGAATCTCCTATGAGAAAACCATTTTTAAATAGATCTTGGCCATACGATAGTTGCTATGCTAGATGGGTTACATTATTTTGTTTGTTGGATTACTTGTCTGCATCACAAGAAAAAGGAAGTATGGTATCAGGTAATTGGAATTTTGAATTTGGTACTCTGGGGGAGCCTACATTTTCATTCTGTTTTGTTTTTGCTGGCAGGGGAAAGGGAGGAGAGACAGAGAAGACCATGGATATTAATTAACTACAAACACTGTAGAGTGTGTTGGCAACCGTTCAGTGTTATGGAAGCAGATGACACTGAATGCAGGTTAACTGGCACCTTATTCCTCTATCATTCCAGAGTTATAGGGCAACTGCTGGAAATTTTTGGAACTTGTATGGAAGATTAGTCTTTTGGACACAATTCCCCTTATGCGGTCCCTTCCATACCCTACTGCAGTGACATGAGGCCCTTGGGCCTCTCCCACATCTCGGAAAATTGCTCAGCTTGACAAGAAAGGGAGTAAGCAGCACCTGTCAACAGATGTTTTCAATGACTTGGTAAAGATGACAGACATGTGCAGGTACAACTACCTCTACAGAGTGCCAAGTCATCCGTAACACAGTCTCCCCTTAAGAAGACGAGTATCTTGGCTACTGCAGAGCCTGCAGCCCCAGTTCACAAAGCCCCTGGGAGTTGGCCACATGGGGAGCATGTGGTAGTCAGAAGATGAGCATGAGCCAGAGCCAAGAGAACCTGCCAGGACTCGGACTGCCTCTCCAGCTTATAAGCAGTGAAGCCAGAGGGCAGAATTGACAGACCCAAGAGGTTTTACAGAATGGGTTTCGTAGAACAGAACTGCCTGCATGCCAAGCAATGAGTTGGGTTAAACCGTCCTTTAAGAGGATCTGAGGAGCCAAAGATGTGTTCAACACGGATTACTTCTATCCACCTGGTTTAAAAGTTAGTCAAAAGGAAAGCAATAAAGCTGGTGCAGCCACTCTGGAAAACAGTATGGAGGTTCCTCAAAAAGTTGAAACTAGAGCTACCATACGACCCAGCAATTGCACTACTGGGTATTTACCCCAAAGATACAAATGTAGGGATCCGAAGGGGTACGTGCACCCCAATGTTTA